GTTTAGCTCTGATGAAGGCTATCCATCAGGCCCATTAATGCGCCCCCACCCAAAACAATAAATCCATTCTGGTGAGTTCTGGTGCATTGGTGCTCTGCATACTGTATGTACGGGGTCATGTATGCCACCGCAAGGCAGTATCTAGTTTTGTAATCTGGATAGATTACAGTGGAAGTGAGGAGTGTGTACCAACTTCAGTCATGGTTTTTTTTTATAAAGTTCGTCAGTATCCTAACAGGACAGGTTTAGTGACACAAAGTCTTGTCTGTACACTAATAATTATCATCTGTCTTCTACTTTTGTAGCTGAACTGATTGAAAACATGGATAAGAAATCAACCTGGGACCGGTTCTACACAGAGACCAGCACCGGGACCCCCACCTTTAAGAACTTTGAGTGGTTTTTCGGATTCAGTTCTGTGCAAGACTTCATTATGCCCCTCTTGCAGACTGGCTCCCATCCAGACACTCTGCTCCACATCTTAGATATGGGCTGCGGAACCTCTGCCTTGGGCCCGTCCATTTACAGAGAGTCTGCAGTCCCAGTMCGGGTCACGTGCGCGGACATTTCCCCTGTAGCTGTGCGGCTCATGCAGGACCACGCTAAAGTCAAAGCCGTCAGACCTCGCAGTCCTTCTTCTCAGATCCAGTTTGTAGAGTTGGACTGCACACAGCTGGACAAGCATTATAGTTCTAACAGTCTGGACCTCATTGTTGACAAGGGTACCACTGATGCCTTGTTGAGGTCCAAGGAGGAGGAGGGGAAGGCCGCCCTGGTGCTGAAGCAGTGTTTGAGGGCACTGCGGAGCTCGGGGTCCCTGCTCCAGTTCTCAGACGAGGATCCTGATGTCAGACTTGTGTGGCTGGAGACTGCTGTGCAGGAGCAGGGGGGCGGAGCAGCCGATGTTGGGGTGCAGGAGGTGGGGGTTCTAAGAGGGGTGTGTTACTACTGCTACTATGTGACTCCCAAACATGTAAAACAATAATATATTTCAAGTCAGCTAAATAATAAACCAAATGAGTGTGTGCGAGACAGAAGTGTATATTTACTTATTTTCAGACTGATAAGTTTGTCTTTTATAACATATGAGTACATTGAGTTACAGTTTGTTAGTATGATGTGTTTTCATATTTTTTATTTATTTATTTGTTTATCACAGCATGATTCAGACAGAAAACAGTTTGCTGTGGCTTTCACTCTGTGGGCATTTACTCCCATCTAGTGGCTACCTCACCCAAACAAGAAAGAAAAAAAAAACATTTAACTAGAGAAATTTGCATTCCCTGCAAAAACGCTGGTATGAATGCCTCTTGCTGCTAAAATGGAGCTGAAAATAATTAATAGTAAAATTATTAATGCAAGTATAATTTGAAACGCAGAAAGAACAATAAAAGTTTAAATTAGCAGAAAAACTGTAGAAAGGAGCATAAAAAAGCTAAAATTAGCATTAAACAAGCTAAAGACAGCAGACAAGTTAWAATTAGCACACTTGTTGAAAGAGGTGTAAAAATGCAAAATTAATAGTAAAAATTTAGAAAAAGGGACAATTTATAAAAAAAAAAGCCAAAATGTGCTGGAAAACCACTAAAATTTAACTGAAAATTCAAATTAGCATAAGGAAGCCTAAGGAGCACAGGTTTACTGAATTTAGCAGAAATATGCTGTAATAGCC